GGACCCTGGACCCGCCCCGCCCGAGGCACCTCACACCCCACAGGAGGAGAGGCCGGCGAACCTGCAGTCTCAGAGGCCAGGCCCCCTCAGCATTTCCAGTACATTCTCTGCGTGCGAATTAACTGAGAGTCACACAATCCTGACTCGCTTGTTTCTACAGCAAGGAGTAGGAAAGTCTGCAAATGAATGGGGAGAACAAGACTCTGCTGGTATTTTTGTTTGTTTTTAAAGGGGTATCTCAGCCAGAAAGGAAGAGTGAAATCACTTAACTTGGCTAAATGGGGACAGTGAATCTTACGGGCAAATGACAGGACCAAAGAGAAATAAGGGTAACTGACTTATTCTAAAGGCAGCCATTCTTAGCAAAGGTTAGAGAAAAAGAACTAAAATACATGAAATGTGTTTTCTAATAGGCCACGTCAGCGCTGTCACCAAATGTGCTCAATAGGGAAAGTGAGACATAGAAAGAGCCGCTTCTCATCAGAGCCTCGTGCACGGGGCGCCGCTGGGGCGGAGCCTCAGTGTGCGCTGGACACATGCCATGACCAGGGGTCCTCAAACTTGTTAAACAGGGGGCCAGTTCACTGTCCCTCAGACCGTTGGAGGGCCGGACTATAGTTTAAAAAAAACTATGAACAAATTCCTATGCACACTGCACATATCTTATTTTGAAGTAAAAAAACAAAACGGGAACAAATACAATATTTGTATTTGCATGTGGCCCGCGGGCCGTAGTTTGAGGACCCCTGGCCATGACCATCACGCATAGATTTGGGACTTAACTGAGATGAAGCAATGTGCCTAGTAACACTGCATGACACTGTATTTTATTTTTCAAATCCTCACCTGAGGATATTTTTTCCATTGATTTATTTAGAGAATGGAGGGGAGGGAGTTGGGAGGAAGAGAGAAACACTGATGTGAGAGAGACATATCCATTGGTTGCCTCCCATTTCTATACTATAGAACAGTTACAGAGTGAGAATTACTGACAACAGATTCGAAAAGATTAAATTCTACAAACTAGTGAACACTTAAACCCCACAAAGTTATAACTTGAAATAGGAAGGAGCACAAATTCATAGCAATATAGTCCCAAATTAGAAAAGTGCAAGAACTCTTCCATGAGAAGTCTAAACATTTGCATGAAACACATAAATCACTACATTTTCAAGCAAGAAAAGTATAGCTTAGTCTTACCTTACTGCTCCAAAAGGCTGGAATAAAATTACTGACTTATAGAAGCAACTTTCACATGGATCTGAACATCAAACACAACACATGATATAAAATAAAAAAATAACTAGAACAGAAAAGTTTTCATTCTGACCTTAAAAATCCTGAGCAAATCACTGGATGAAGCCAGATCAAAGGCAGGGCATCACACCAGCTTGGAGCCATATGTGAAGGGCCCCAAATGCACAGGGCACAGCTGGTACACGGTTGGGGGAGGGACCACAAGCAGATCCAAAACATAAGGCAATAAACTTGCTTCAGCTTACACAGGTAAGACAGTTCGAAAGCATGAATAATTTTAAATACAACTGCTAAGATTTTACATTTGGGACAAATGGTGCAAACTAAAATGTGCTCACAAGTTTAAGCTCAAAAATCCTTTGGTGTAATAATGTAAATGAAATTAAAATCTCAGGGAGGATACAAGCAAAGAAGATAGTTACAACTTTTTATAACCCATGCAGTGGTTGTGAGCCAAACTACCTGATTAAGGTCTGAGACATTTGGAAGAAATTTAATCTAGGCTCACAGAATTAACAGCTGTATTTGAAAACAGAAACCCTGTAAGTTTATTAAAATGCTCCAAGTCTCTTAATATTCTCCATTCATCATAATGTAAAGTGCTAAAATTAAAATTTTCACCTTCTTAAACCTTTAATAAAAGTTGCCTTTTTATATGTAAAAAGATGAGGTAGCATTAATTTTCTATAGAAAACACAGAAGCAATCATTTACTTCATGCTCATTTCTATAATGCTAAGTTGCCAGTTTAATAATTCCCAAATAAACACTTGTTCCAAATATAGAAGTTAAAAAAAATTCTCTTCCTTGAACATTAGAAGTTGAAATTTCCATAATGAAATCTTGCATTTCATTAAATGAGTTGATAACTGTTTTCGGGCAGCAACCAAAACAAAAACACTCAACACAGACTCTGTCAGCCTCGTGGCTTCTGAAGGACAAGAGAGCACAGAATATCCAAAAGGCGGTTTGATTGGATATTCTAGGCAGGGACGCCCACCACACACACACAATGGGAACTCAGGAGCAATGAGGAACAGAAGTGTTGACTCACAGTGACTTTGCTGAGCATTCCTACGGGGCAGGGAATCCTTTTCTGGTTCTTACACTTGCAGTTTAGGAACAGTTCTGCGAAGCTATATCTACGAGTGACTTAGTTTCCGTGGAAATTCACTCTCAGGCCACTCTGGCCGTTGTGTGAGCAGTCCTGTGCTCCTGTCCAGGCAATTTCATAGCTCTGCGCGTTCACGTAATCTGCCCAGCAATGCTGAACCCCGAGGCCAGCAGACGCTATGGAAAAGCACGGATGGAGGGACTACTGCTTCTGTGCGTTCACGTAATCTGCCCAGCAATGCTATGGAAAAGCACGGATGGAGGGACTACTGCTTCTGAGTGTTAACGTCTGTTCTCTGAACAGGCTGAACTGGTGTTTAGAAGAGGAGGCCGCTGTGCAGGGAGGTTTTCTATTAGGACAGCAGAGCGGCCCTGCCCTGCTGCAGGCCTCCCGGCCTCTCCCCAGCAGCACCAGCCGCTCTGCAAGGCTCTGCAGGCTTCCCAGCGTGTCACACATCCTGACGGGTCACTGGGTGCTGGGGGCGGGAGGCTTTCCTCCTTGTAGGGCAGGAGGGAGTCAGGGGCGCCCTCAGGGAGGTCTGAGGACCATCTCCTCAGCACCAGGGGGCAGCGGCTGGAAAGGCCTGCCAGGCCTGGGCGTGCTGGGCTGGGAGGCTGCGCACTCAGCGCCCCTGACTGCCCCGCGCCAGGGCTGGGAGCACAATGATCTCCGAGGTCCCTTCCACTCTAAAATTCTGAGTCTGCTTCTCTCAGAGCGTGTTCGGGCAGCTGGGTGACCCTGTGCAGCAGCGGAGGTGACTTCCGACCTAAGTCAGAAGTGTTCCCAGAGACTCCCGAGGACAGAGGCAATCGGACCGGAGGACGGCTGGCAGATGTGCGGGGATCTGGTTTCCCGGGAGGCCTGGCGGAGCCCTCCCTCTCGTCTTCCTGCCTGCCCACTCCTCTCAGCTGTGAGAGAACTTCCTGGGATTTTTACAATCCTGAGTTACCAAACTCTTAAGTAATTTTTAATTGATCTGAATTGATCTGATCTTTTAAGAAATAAACTACTACAGGCAGTCCTCTACTTTCATTTATAATGAGTGAAATCTTACAGCAACACAGAATACAGGAAAAGTCAAACAGTAGACACATTTTAAAAGGGGAGTTATATATTCACAAAGCTAAAAAAATCAAACTGCAATTTTACTTCTCCCTTTGGGCACAATATTGAGAAAATATTTCCTACATGTTCCTTTATTTCATTCTTTCTCTCTATGAGAGCCTAAGAGTTGTGAGTTTTAAGCACATCTGGAGAATTCTATCTGACGGTTTATTAGGTGCAGGAGAGCTAAACCTCTACTGGTAGTACCACATTTTATAAAATCCTAAGAGCAAAATGCAGGACTCTCAAAATAATTACACAAACAGCTGAATAAACTGTGCGCCCAGCCAGGGTGGGCGGGAGGGCAGCGCCACCATGCGATGGCTCTGCAAGGCGTGGGCTGGTGCAAGGACAGGTTCTCCCAGTAACGCCCCGCCCCCTGCCAGTCAGGCCCCTTTCCCCGCTGCAGGCAGAGCGCAGGGACAAGCGGGCAGGCACCGTTTCTGGCAAGGAAGCCTCATCCGTGGCCAGATAGCAGACTTGGTGCTGCCTGGAGGCTTGCGGGTGGTCAGGCTGATGCGGCTCTCAGGCTAAGGAACCTGGACTGGGGTGCGGGGGGCGGCGCTGCAGACTTCCAAGCCCAGCTCTGTGCTTGGTAGCCCATGTCCTCGACCAAAGCGCAGGTGGGTGGGTGGACTGTGCATGCGTCTATGGGCCCAATTTACTCAAAACTTCTTTCAGCTATAAAGTCTGTGCCTGGGTACATGAGCTAAATTCAAGAAGAAAGGTGAGAAGGCTAGAGTCAGTTTATTAGATTTGTTTTTCTTTTCATTTTTTCTCCATCAACTATACCATAAATTTAACAGCCACATTATAGTAAATAATAGTTTACTATATATAGTTTACGCGTGCTCGCTGTAAACTCTCCCCTCCTATTAAAAATGGGGAGGAGTGGCGAGTGCAGGGAGGAGTGCTGGGAGGCAGTGGAATCAGACAGTGTCCTCTCAGTGAGAAGCAGCCCTCCCCTGTCACAGTGCCGTTCCCCATGTTAACAGGCATGCCTGCTCCCACGGCTGGGCCTCACGGGAGTGAGGAAGCATCGGCTCCGAGCCCCTGGCTCTGCATCCTAGGCCCTGGAACCCAGGCAAGAAGAGGGCCCTCTGGCCCCGTGTGCACCTGCTAGGACTGGCTGAACACACTCCAGAACCCGACTGAGAGGCCCACGTCCCCGGCACTGGCCGAGATGGGTGCGCTGCCCCAGCAGACAAGTCACATGCTCCACAAAAGTTCCTTGTCTCAGAAGAGTATTGGCTTCTTTAATCCAAGAAGGTAAGGAGAGGCTTTTAACTGATTACATTAGCTTAGCTCATACATCTCTTATGAGCTAAATATTCAGTTAAACATTTTCGAAAGCAAAACCTGACAAAATCCTCTCTTAAAGTGACTTAGGTGATAAGTTCTTAAACTAACTCCTCCCCCCACTGGCATGTCCACAGGATCACAACAAGCCCCCGGGACAGAAACCCACTTTGTGTGTGAACCCGTGTTTCATGATCATAAACAATATAAACTAGGAAACATTAATGTGAGCCTAACATTCCTAATTTTATTTTATTTTATTACTTTAAAAGCTATATACATGCAAAAGTTGAACATATCACAATGCCTTTAAATAAAGTTCAAAAATAAAATTACTTCAAAATCCATTTACTTATGAAAATGTATATGACAATTATGATGAAGATAAGTCAATTATATCCTTTTCTAATCTATCAGAAAAATACTTATATTATAAAAAAGAATTTTAATTCATGTCCAGAATAATTTTTAAATTCTTGATGAATAATAAAAACAAGTTGGACGTTAGTACAATATTTAAAGCAACAAGTTTCAGGCTTTTGAAAAATGGGTCTGATATCCTATACCTCATTTAAAAATCACTGAAGAAACTCAAGTTTAGAAACAAAGCATTTTTTAAAAAACTATGACCATTGTTATTATGGTTGACATGGTTAGGGATGCAAATGAAGGGCATGGCTTTCATAAATAGATGCTGCAGAAAGTCCACTCAAATGTTTGAAGAACTTTATTTACAAACACAGGTTGGAGGCCTGCAGGACCTCCCTGGCTCTCTGCTGGAGAGTAAAAATCTTGGGTCCAATGAAGCTCTGAGCACCCAGCCCTTCTGTGTGATGTGTAAGCGTGTGCGAGCGACCCTGGCGCCAAAGGTCACTAGGAGGACAGGCAGCTTCAAGCGACCCCCTCAGGCAAAAGCAGAAGCCGGCAGTCAGGGCGTGAGACAGGGTGCTTTGAGCAGGTCTCAGCATTCCAAAGTGTGGCCGTTTCCTTCCAGTGAAACCAGAATTTCTTTGGTAACAGAGTACAATATAGATTAACAACTCCAAAAATTAATATGAATAAATATGCACTCCAAGTTCAACTTTGTAAATGTTCACATTCATTTTGGAAAGGAGATTTAACTTCCTGCCCCGAAATGAAAAAAAGGCAAAGCTGCCCATTTTGGGGGACTACTGATTACCGGCATGACACAATCTGAGCAGGAAAAGGGGTCACTTAACAAAAGGTGTCTATCGATGTGGAGAGCCCCAGGTGGGCGCACGTCCGAAATGTGGGAGAAGCAACTTCACAAGCAACTAGAGTTCTCTCCTCTGAAACCAGAAGAAGGGGCTTCTCATCTGGGGAAGCCCGTCACCGTCTCACCTTCCTGTGAAAAGGCCCGACTGACACTCGGTTAGAAATAAGTTCACAGAGTCCAAACCTAGAGTTTGAGTTGTATCCTGATACTCAAGTGTCATTAGTTTTCATGTGAGTTAACCCAACGATTACTTTCCTTTTATAGCTATAAAAAGAAGTTTTAGAAAGGAAAAATAAAAGATGTGTGTGCTGTCAGTGCAACATCTGAGTAAATGTGGTTTTGCTTCTCCCAAACACAGAAAAAACAATGCCCAGTACATGGTACGTAGGAGTGTGTCACCACCAGGAATAACCAAGACAGGTCTCACCAGCGGGCTTCCTGCGAGAACAGCGTGGTTTCCGAAGCAGTCCTGTCACGAGGATGCATGTCCTATGACTAGGTACAGCCCCGCCACTTAAAGGGACTGATTTCCTGTGCCTCCATGAAAGGAGAGTGCACAAAACAATAATTAGACCAAAAACGGAATTTAAAAGGGCAAAAAAATTGGAGTGAAAAGAACACAGAAAGCAAAAACCAAAAAACAAAACCAAGCAATGTGACGGTAGAAACCCATAGTCTCCCCCACCCCACCTGCCACTTGGAGTCCTAACTGCCCATCTGCAGGACAGAAACCCACTAAGTGACCAGCATCGGACTTCGGCAAGTCTTCTCTTCACTCTCCCTCCTGTTAAGACCGTTTCCAAAACCAATCAGCAAAGGACAAAGAATTCTTTACAGAGTGCAATTAGTGCTTTCCACGTCCACCTTCAAAAGCATGATGCTCTTCATGGGCTAAAGGACAGAAAAAAACAAAAAAGAAAAAAAGGAAAGAAAACTTTAAGCAAAGGATGGGGCAACCCTTCTCTAAGGCATCTATCTCACTGTTTCCCCAAATGTTGGCAAGAACTCAAATACCTTTCTGTGCCAGTGACTGTGAGCGCAGGCGTGCATTTCCTGAGAAACGTAATAATGAACAGTAAACAAGGAATAAGCACGCAGCGGCACACTGCCTGTTTCTTTCGCTGTGCCGGGAGGGTGCGTCATCTGACAAGCTGATGGGGAGAACACGTTGGGCTCCGAGCAAATGCCGCAGGGAAAATGCACCCACAGAACGCATGCGTAGGGAGGGACCTCCTGTTACCCAGGCAGGCCACTGGCGCACGAGCCTGCCTTTAGAAATAAAATAGAACCAAACCAAACCAAAACAAAGAACAAACCGGGGGTAGCAATGATGTCTCCACCTCTGTGGGAAACGAAAGCCCATAAAGTGGATGGGTTTTTATTTTTCCCAAGCATATTTCCTCCTCCCAGCTCTACTGCCTGGCTTTCAAAATTACTAACGACATTTAAAAAAACTCGAGAATAAAAAAATTATCAAAACTATTTTTCAAAGACTTAACATTTAAAAAGTGGAAGTGGGAAATGGGAGATGGGAAGTCTGGTGGCAAGTGCAGACCCCTGATTCTGCCCCGGCCCTACCCACCCCCACAGTGGAGGTGTCCAGGAGGCCTGGCGGCCCATTCGCCTCCAAGGTTCCTCCCAGAATTTAGTCCTGGTTTCCACAGCTACTACATCTTCCCTGCAGGATCCGGCCTGCTCAGCCCGCCTTCTCTTCTCCTGGACAAAACACTGAGAGCAGCACACCTATGTTCTCCTGAGGGTGGCCTGGCATGCAAACTGGTTTAACTGAACAGTTCTTGCGAGGAGAAATACAGATATTTAGCTTTTTATGTGTTTTTTTTTTCTTTTTTAAGGAAGACTTTAAGGGCAGACACATGAAAACTGGTCTGGTCTGCAATCAAGTAGGCAGTACCGCTGGTCACATGGGGAGCCATGCCCCTCAGCAACTCTGGGCTCCGGGGATAAAAATCCAGAGACCCGAGCCCTGGGCGGCATGGCTCAGGGGATAGAGCGTCAGCCCTTGGACTGAAGGGTCTCAGGTTTGATTCTGATTAAGGACATGTACCTTAGTTGCAGGCTTGATCCCTGGTCCTGCTTGGGGCGCGTGTGGGAGGCAACCAATCAATATGTCTCTTTCACATCGATGTTTCTCTGTCTCTCCCTGTCCCTTCCACTTTCTCTAAAAATCAATGGGAAAAATATCCTCAGGTGAGGAAAAACAAAAAAATAAAAATAAAGAGATCCGAACTATCCTAAGACTTCCTGACTTCTGAGAGTAAGGGGCCCATGGTGTGGCACGGATGGGCCATGGAGCCTGCACGGGCTGGGAGAGGCCTGGGGCAGAGGGCGCCTGTGCGCCTCAGCCTGGAGAGAGGCAATACAGAAATGCTCAAACCCAGGACTCCGCAAACTTTTTCTGGAAAGGGGCACAGAATAAAGATTTTAGGCTTTGCAGGCCATAGGGTCTCTGTGCCAATTGCTAACTCTGCCACTGTGCCATGAAGCAACCATAGATGATATGTATACACATGGGCATTGCTAGGTGCCAATATGCCTTCTACATACATGACACTGACATGTACATTTCACACAGTTTTCATGCATTGTAGGTCTTTTCTGGTGTTTTTTTTCCAACCGTTTGAAAATGTGAAAACCACTTAGTTGCAGCCCCAAAACAGGCAACGAGGGGCCAAATTTGGCTTGAAGTCCATAGTTTGCCAACCTCTGCTCCAAACTCTCACATCAGAAAAGACATCTGCCATTCAGCTGCTCTGCTAACCTAACAGAATTTGGGGAGAGGGCTCTCTATACATTAGCAGTTTCTTGGTCAAATAACCAATCTTTATCCAAATCTTATATAAACTTATCAACACTCGATTCTTATCCACCCTGTGGGGGAGTCTGCCGTGTTGCCCTGTGAAGAAATTCTCACACCGGGTCCCGGGAGCACGGCAGGCGCAGGCAGGTGGCCGTTTTCACCCAGCTCACTCCACGCTGCTCCTCATCAAGCCGTGAATCACTTTCTGCCCAAACCTCAGTTTTCCAAATCAAGTCTGTAGCACATAGAACTCTACTGAGTAAAGGACTGCCTGCTTTTTATAAAATAAAGAGAATTACTTCTTTTTTTCCAATTCAGAATTTTATTTGAATAACCTTAGCGTTTTTAGATGTTAATTTACACCATTACAATATGGACTCCACTGAGACCTGTAGCTGGTGCTGCATCACCCACGAGCTTGCCAATGGAATCTATCTTTAGGGGCCTGTTCAGCTGAGTCAGCCGGCCCCGCTGTGGCCAGCTCTCCCTTTGTTGGGCTCCCCACGTGCCTGCCCATCACAAAGCTAAGCAGGGGCTCACTCAGTCTCACCTGCTGGCTGCCACTGCCCTAAAAAACGGCCTCATCACTCTGTGGCCAAATTACCTAATGACACCCTCATATCACGCTGGACCTGCTGCTAACCAACATGGTACCTGGAAATGTAATCACATAATTTTGAAGTAGAAGGGACCTTGGAGATCATTTAAGACCAACCTCTTGGCTACTTAAATGAGAGTGCGGATGACAAGGTGACTGGCTGAAGGTCACCGCTGAGGCAAGCCCGAGTGCCTGACAGTTGTCTGCACCGCCTCTCCTCTCTGTGTGACAGTGGCGCGGGTTCGAGGGCGGGAAGGGTGCGTAGCCCCATCACAAATGGCAGTGCAAGGCTCCCTTCCAGAGAGTTCCTGCTGTGGTTTACCCCTCAATGGCCTTTCAATTAACATTTGGACTGAAGATGCAATTCCTGCTCCCTAAGGAATGACCACTGTCTCTACAATGTGCACTTGCTCCACCACACAGCAGCGAAGGACTTCTGCCCGCAGCTTTGTCTCTTATGTAAACTGTCGCCTGACATCGGAAGTTGGGCGTCGCCTGAATACATGCGGCAGCTGCGGGTCTGTCATTCCACCTGATGTGTGACTTCTGAAGGAACAAAATTTGATTTTTCCCTCCTTTTTTGGCAAGGGGGCTGAGAAAAATGAAGCAATAAATGAAGCCTATTTTAGCAATTCTAAGATGTGCCTCCTTCCCCCTGGGGCACCCCGGGATCAACAGTGTGTCCGCTTTCCTGGGAGCCTTTTCCTTTCCTTTCCTAGGAATTCTAAAATGATGCTTATCACCGGGGCACCTTCGAGTCAGGGGGTTACAGGAGTTAAACACTGGGCTGCTGGCTCTCGATCAGTTTGGGAAACAGGAAACGTGCCCGCAGCAGGGCGGCCGTGCTGCGCTCCAGCAGCTCACTGGCGCCTGTGGCCCGAGGTGAGAGCTACCAAACAGGGGTTTAATGGCGCTAGCCTGTTTTCATTTGGACAAAAATGACTTTTTCAAAAGAGCACACAAAGCAATGAACACGAATCATTGATGGAAACAATGGGTCCACACACCTAGTCATACTTGAACGTGTCACCCATCCCTCGTTCTGTGTCCCCGTCACCGCCAGGCAGTGTGGGCGTCTCAGCAGAACATCCCGTCCCTGTGCTCAGCTCCTCCACGAACACAGATGCCACACACGACAGACCCCTGCTGCTGGGGGATGACTGAGACCTACCTGCCAGCTCAGACAGCAGCATTTGGTTATTGTTGCTTAACATAGAAGGTGATTTTTTCTGAGAACGCCAAATTCAAAATCAGGTTTAAATTTTTGAAATGATACAGACAAGGTGTATCTCCTTCTCTGATCCATGCATTTACTAGTAGGCAAGAATTAATCTCATTCTAATTTCTGAGACTAAACTTTTGAAAAAACACTTAAATGTTTTCATAAATACTTTCTGAATTATAGAATTTCAAGTGATTCTGCCTTCACCTCATTTGCAACACAGTTTCTATTTTTAAAAGTATGACAGGATTATCTAGAAAGTAATAACTGGAAAGAAGCACTTACGTTTATAAAATACTGCTTTAAAAGATATGTGGGGCAGGAGTTCATAGATCTTTTCTAAAACGGTTGCTTCGCCCACTAGAGAGGCATTTACATTCCAGACTTGGACCACATCGTCTCGGTCCCGAACGCTAACGCTGACGCCTATGACTTCGTCATCTGAGGGAAGACAGGGAAAAAGGAATGAGTGACAATTTCAGGTCTGCCAGCTTTGTTTTCTAAGCACTTATCATTTTATCTGTAAGTTATGAATAAGATAAAAAGAAGTGGCACAAGAGCACCATAACAAATACTTGTTTCTAAAGAGAACTGTTGGACAAAAAGCAAGTTATTGGGCGAAAGCTGTAACAATCACATCACATTTGACCAGGGATTCGATAAACAAAGGGTTCTAGCCGAACGCATTTCCAGGTAAGTGGTTCATCCTTTCTGACACGTTGCCAACACTTGTGACTACTCCTCACTGTGCTGAGGAGACCTTTTCTAAAATGAGGGGGCAGCTCTGCCCTCCGAGAGCCAAGTGAGCGCACGTGCACTTGCCTCCGTGCTCACCGTCTTTGTGGAAGCGGAGGTCTTTCTCCTCACTCCCTGCCAAGCGGTCAGCTAGCCTGGGGTGCTTAGTACACTTCGCCCCAACACTAACTGGGCCCAGACTGTGCATTTCGAGTTGCTCTGCCTGCTTTTTGTGGTTTGTCTCCTTTCCTATGAATTCTCCTCGTTCTCCGGTGCCTCACTCCCGTTCTGTGTGTGGACTTGGAGGCTGTGGGCTAGAGAATCCATGACCATCTATCTGTTAGCGCCGTGCATGAAGCAAGAGAACATGCTTCCTGAGGGAGGCTCTGCTGTGACAGTGCTACAGCGGGTGGACGTGCGAGCATTTACCCACATTAATTCATGGAGGTCGGGTACCTTGTCGATATCTGAGAATGGCAGCTGGAGAAGTAAGGCTTTGCTCTACTCTCACACGCTCCCTTGCAGCCACTCTGTGTGGGCTAAAGCCTTCTGACTCCTGGTTTTTATGTGTTTATGGCTCACTAATGAGCCAGGGTCAGCTCTCTGCACCTGCACACTCCGCACCAATAAGTGAAATGAGAAAGGTAAGCATCGAAAGTAGACAGTGTCGCTTTAATAAACATGCTTTGCCTAATTTGCTGTAAATCAAAGTAACTTCTTCAGGGAAACATTTCCTTTCTTTCCTCCTTCCTTCTCTTCCTCAGTTTCTCTCTTCTTTATTTCCTTTTTAAATGAATCTGGTCCAGCTAAACATTTATAATTTGACACTAAATGGTTCCATTTTCACAAATGTGCTATGTTGCAGGTGGATGGGCGGCCAGTTGGGAAGGAGGCCGAGGAGGGGCCCTGGGTGCTCGGTGCAGGGTCTGTCTCCTTGCAAACAGTTATCAAGCTCTGCACGTTACAGCTGGTACTCTTTCCTATGAATGTCACATTTACCAAAAATTTCCCAAAAACTAAATAGTCCCTGATCACAGCCATTCAACAGGGACTTATTATTCCATCAAAACCTTTGTTTTATTTACACCTTCAAAATATACTTCTGGAGCTCACCTCCATTAAATTTCATGTGAATATAAAAGCACCGAGTGAAGAGGGGAGCCCTGCAGTTTATCCCTTTCAGGAATGGCCATGAGGTCGTTGTTCAGCGCTCAGCATCCCAGCCCTGCCACTGCCCACTTCTGCACCCTGGCCAGAGGGGCGGAGGGTGCGGCGGCCAGTGTCAGCCTGGCATGGCCCTGGCCGCAGGCACAGCTCCTGTGCCCAGGCAGGCCCCTCAGCAAGCATGGAACAGCCCGAAGCGGGTCGGTCCAAAGCCTGGTTAGTTTGGGACATCACAGCCAGGGGAGCGCGGCTCAAGGAGTATGTGCGGCCCAGATGAGCTGACTGGCTGTAAGCGGCAGAGCCAGGTTCCTGGGAGGCTAATGGTTCATCATTAACGGAGCTGGCCTTTCCCGAGTCAACCACAGAACAACAGGTCTCCTTTCCTTAATCCTGCTATTTATTATCACTGGTTCTGGAAACGAATAATTCATACGGAAAACTTCCTCTCCCAGGGATGTCTGTATTTATAATTATACCTCGGACGCATTTTGGCTGCAATATTGTGAAGTTGCTAACCACTCCCTGTTAAAATAAAAGGACTCTTATTTTTAAGACAATTTCATCTAACCCAGGTTTTGTCTTAATAATAAAAAAAAGTGGTGTAAAAAGAAAGCAAAACAAAAGCAGAATTTTCGGAACTGCCGGTGGATGAGCTGGAAGCTCACCATGGCCCGGCCCCTAAAGATCACACAGCCAACAAACACAGCTGCTGGCAAATTAGTTAACACCAATTTGTTTTAAAAAATCGTAACTGAAAGCTGAACAGAAAAAATGTTATCCTAATGTTACCTCAGGATCATCCAGAGGAACTACCCATGAAAAACACAACTTGAAACGAGCAGTTCTTTGAGCGGTTTCATACAAAAAAAGCAAAATAAAAATGTACTCTCGGGGGCTCTCAGAAATTCACTCAGTATTTGAAAGTGGTCTCCAAAGTCAAGTTCTGAAGACCTTATATTTTAGCCTCAATTGTGGGAGGTCACAGCCAATAATGTTGCCCACCCCTTATCACACCCTGTGAGCAGGGGACCCCAGGGACCGGAGGAGGGGCAGGGACTGGAGGGACCGGAAGAATTGTGTCCACCTAACACCAGCTCCAAGAGCCCACTGGGAACCACGCTTCCTTTCCTTTCTGCCTGTTTGCCTTGGAGAGAGGACCACAGATACTGTTAAGATGAGTTATGAGGGCACATACACATGCATATACACAGACATAAATATAGTAGACACACATGTAAATATGCATGTGTCCATACACACATAACACTAAATGCCACAATCACATGAAAAAATCTAAGTAACTTCACAATACAAAATAAACAACTTCAAAACATGTAAAAAAGTCAAACACACAAACTTCTGCAAGTACCACGACAAGGCAAGCACCCGCCCGCACGGCCCTTTACCTGCTGCGGCACAGCCTGCGAACTGTTCCCCGATAGTCGCTAACAACAACTCTTTCCAAACTGTGGACTGGTGTGAAAAAAGAATAGAAAACAAAAAGCAAAACCAAAAATACAACATACATATATTTTTAGACAATTATATCCAGGAACTAAGAAAGTCCCATTTTCCGCAACCTGTGTACTTTCCACGCCCGTGTCTAGAGCCCACAGACATCTCCAAGCAACAGGTGTAAACAGGTGGCCTGTGCCGTGTTGCTCCCCGAGTAACTGGGACAGGTGCAGTGACCCAGAGTCACTAACTTTGTGTCCCAAAACCTTGGTGTCCTTCATCACAAAGCTAATTTCTAGTGACACCCGGATGAAATTAATGGGGGAGGGGGGGGATGCATTCAAATGGCATCATTTTCTGATTTATTTACCTCTTTCTAGTTACACTTGAATGCTATTAGTAAAACCCTTCTCTTCAAAACCCTCCTCTCTGTTCTCCTTGCAGTTTCTAAGGTACTTTAAAGGTTCTCCAGTAAAGAGCGCTTCAGGTTTCTGGGTTACTGAATACCAGACACATGCAAATGCCCATTCCCTCCAGACGTCTGCGCTACTGACAGGTGCTATGAGTCTGTGTGTGCGTTTCCACAGAAAACAGTGGTGTCTGCTCTACCTCCTACCAGCGAGAAACAATGGAGTCCTTTCTACTCAAGAGCCATACAGGTTCCCGAGGCCTAGAAGTCCTTCCAGCTGCCCCCCTGAAAAGGTCTTGGTCCCGCTTATCCCCTCGCCCTGGTTCACAGGCTCTGAACTCTCCCAGAACTGGGTCTGAGTCCCGACAGGCTGCTTAGTGCCTGTGGACCTGGCTGGGCAGCCACCAGCTGCTCTGAGTGTGTTTCTAGAGGCCAACGGGGAACAACAGGGCCGACCACTCAGGGTTGCCTTGACCACAAATTAGTCAACAAATGCACTCAAAGGACTCACCGTTTCATAAGTAGCTGCATGCTCGCTCTACTCCAGGGGCTCAGTCCATGTGAACCGCATCAGTGCTTACCATGCCGTTCTAATGAGCCGAAGGCAGCCTCGCTGGACTGTTACCCCAGATGACAGTTAGCCATCATGACCTCTTCCTCTCAAGAAGGGGTTTCTTTTCCTTCTCTTTTCTGGGCTACTTGTCTCCCATCTAGAAACCATCCCTTCTATTTTGTCTGTCCCAGCTGGAGTCCCTCACACGCTTGGTGATGAAGCTGAGGGAGAGGGAAAGTCCCATCCTGTTTCGGGGGCACACAGGCTGGCCCACCAGACTCCCACTCGTTGACAAGTAGGCAGGCACCGCACTGCACAGGGAGCTGATGCTTGCACAGACGTGCAGTGTATCATGTGGGATCGAGAGTGGCCAAGGGCACTAACAAGGAAGGGCGTGCCTCCGGCCTCTTCCCGGAAAGCTGCCATCAGGAGTGTTTCTACTAGAATCCAAAGCCTAGTGTCAGAAAACAGCATGAGAAGGAAAACTTGTTCTTATTGAAATTTAAAAACCTACATCCTCTCTTCTCTCTTCTTACACTATCTACTTCCTCTCCTTCTTAAGGGGACAGAGTGGAGGCCCAGGCCTTACCTGCCTGACTGGGCATTTGCTTCCTGGCATATTTTATTACGGAGGCCAAACAACAGGCAAATTTTGGAGCTATACATCCGGACTGAGCTTGCGTCTTTAACAAATAAATCTGGCTGCATCTTTAGGTCTGTGCTTATAGGAGAATGACTCCAGCTTAAGCCTACGGGTCCTGGAGACACTGCAATGCTCTGAGCTTATCCACATGAAAGAAACCGCGAAAAGGTGAGAATGGGTAGCATCTTCCTTATCAGCTATTTTCAAAGAAGCCCTTTGGTTTCCCAGGGCTTAGGAACAGATTTGAACATTCACTTTCAGACACTATGATACAATAGAGCCCCCCTCCACCCCCACCCCGGGGAGATGGAGGTTTCTAAGGCTTGGCCACAGAAAACCAGCATCCCACCAGGCCCTCCCTCCAAACAGCTCTCATCAGCCTCACGGGAAACCCCGCTCGCCATGCCATGGTTGTCCTCAGAACCATGTGCCCGTCTCCACGAGCCTTTGGTGGGAAGGACCCTGCTTCTCACGTTGTAAAACCAACATCCACGTGCTAGTTACGCTTGGTGCGGAAAGACGGTAAGCTTTCTGTAAAAGCTTATGCATTTAGCTCTTCAGACTATGACACAGTAAAAGGACTGCACCACCTCCACAGAGAAGCACAGGGCATAATCGCAAGGCAGTATGTAAGGCAAAACCCCACCAGGGTCAGCACAGAGCTTCGCCCCCCAGGCCTGTTCTGAGGCCACCAGGCAGGCTGTGGGAGGCACAAAATGGATCAGCTGCAATCAAGCCCCCCGGCTCAGCCAGCTCTAGGAAAGGGTCAGCGCACCTACCGTGCTGTCCTTGGGCACTTTCATCTTCCACACGCCGCCCTTCGCATTACTCTCCTCTTCCCTGGGTCAAAGACCAACGTCTAAAGTTATACTCAAGCATTAAGTGGTTGTACATACATTTACTTTAACAACAGATGACATTAAAAACAAAAAACAACCAGTATTCTTCAATAAACTCTCCCCCAGTCCTTTTATTGAAAACAGACGTAGATGAAATAAAAAGAATGGGGGTGGGAGGAAGAGGGAGGAAAGTGGAATTCAGTGACCACAAGGGCAGGGAGGGGATGCACACCCAGCCCTCACCCTAGACGAGCAGGTGGACAAACTAGCGCAGTGCTCCGCCAGGGAAAGGCCTCCACCTGCAGCACAGGATGAGGGCATTGCCGCCGAGTCTCCTGGGAGCCCCAGCCCCTTGGTGGGATGGGCTCTGTCTTCCTGTGTAGTATCTGCTTCCTCTCTGGTAAGAGCATCCAGACTGCCCCGTAAGGAGCCACGTGTCCCCACTCTGTGCCAGACCCACTCCGCTGGGGTGACTGCACACACTGCTTCAGGGACGGGTGCTTGTGATCCCCGTGTGAGCCAATGGGAGCAGCCCTGCTCCCTTCCTGGGTGGTGAAGCTGACAGGAATAACCTTGTAGGATGCAAGACTGGAGGTACTGTGAGCCATCTGCCACCCCTGATGGGAGAGCCTGAGAACTGAACCAACGGGAGGAGAACAGCAGGTCCGACAGAGCGAGCGCCCGGCTCTGCAGCACCTGAGCACCACCTGCCAGCCTCAGTCCCTCCCTGGATGCTCAGCTACAGGCCCCAACTCCACTTTTTGGCTCAGATTTCACTCCTGTCATTTGCTACCAAAGAAGATGACATACATTCCCATTTTATTAATGAGTATGTAATTCAGAACAGCTGAGGCACATGCTGTAAGGACGTGCTACTAACTGGGACTCCAGCCCAGGCACACTGGCCTTGTCCCCCATCACTGCACTGAGCGATCAGAGGACGTCCCTGCCCACAGCGATTTGCATATTAGGCTTTTATCATGGGCCAGAGGTGTCTTTGGTGACATGAACTTGTTCCACACAACAGGGTGGAACCCCCATCTGTCCCTCAACCCCCCACCAACTGCACAGTCCTGACTGACCACCTAGATGGTGCACACCGCCAAGGGCCGCGCCACACCTCAGAGCCTAGCCAGGGCTGTGAGACCGAGCGGGCCTCAGGGAAGAGCGCCCAGAAACCCTGCCGCCATCCTAGCCCTGTGAGCGGGTGGTGGGAGGGGCTCGGTTCATGATTAAGTAATAGCTGGAATGACATCAGCACCTGCAGAGAAGAGCTTTGCACTCCAATTCGGCACCAAGTGCTTAACGAGGGGACAATCACCCCTCCCCCAACCTCGGCTCAACCCTGGACACTTACCAAAGTGGTCGCCTCTCTCCTCTCATTAAATGATAGCTACATCTCAAAGGCAGGCTGGCCACAGGAGGGATATTATTGTACACGCTCCAGAATATCTTTAAAAGAAAAACACTTCATTTACTATACCCTGTATTGATTTTTACTATGCCACTAGATTATAAAATTAATGAATTAAAGAAAAAAATCAAATCCTCATTAAGTCCTATCCATTCAAAATGGGTTTTTCTCAGTGTTTTTTTCTAATTTTCTGCTAGACAATGTTAACATGACACGAAACAGCATTCCTGGCTGCAGTGGGGCCACGTTCTATGCCTCGCATGCGGTGGTCTCCAAGCAAACACTCCTCTGCATTCGCCTCCACACGACGCTGGGGATGGGCCTCGCAACGCCTGGAGGCCCAGCCTCTAGGACTGTGAGAAATACATTTCTGATGTTGAAGCCACCTGTCTATGGAATTCTGTTAGAGCAGCCAGAACTAACGAAGACAGAGTGGCTGGTAGACAGAAACATTATATAAAAACTAGAGGCCCAATGCACGAAATTCATGCACGGGTAGGGTCACTAGGCCTGGCTGGTGATTAGGGCCAATCTGTGGGGTGACCAGCGGGGCGATCGGGGGCCCCCCTCTGGCACCCACCTTGGCTGGCCTGGGGCCTGAGGGCTGGGGCAGATCCTGCGTGGGGCATCTGCCCCTGGTGGTCAGTGCACGTCATAGCGACCGGTCGTCCCATTGTTCGGTCGATTTGCGTATTAGGCTTTTATTATATAGGACAACGAGTGATAGGAATAGCAGTACTAGCCACAGGGACGGGGCCAGGCCTGGACTCTGAAATGTGCATGTCTGTGTGTCCGTCCTAATGGCCGTCGCACCGGAGGCTCATAGGAAAGGAAACAGAGGCTGAGTCTAACCTGCTCGAGCATCACTGTTCCGTGTGGTCATTAGGTTTAGATGAGAATTAGGTTTACGAAGAGCCAACCTTTCCCAGCTCGTGTGGAAGGGGCTACAGAACCCCTCTGTGAGGACTGTGGGAACACCCTCCAGCATGGTACGCTGAGCAGAGGGGACTTGCCCCTGGCGGGTCCGACAGGAACAGCGCAGCCACAGGACAAGGAGCCCCAAGACCGAGGAAGCGGCAGGGCTGGGGCGGGGGTGGGGGACGTCCTCTAGGCTGAACGTGGATGCTGAGACTGTCTTGTGAAAAAATTAAAGTAGAACTAATTGCCAGGACAACCCTCACAGGCGACGCGGAAACCCCGCTTCCTCCCTGTGTCCCAGGGCCAGGACCGCGACCTCACTGGGTGACTCAGGGATCAGGTGGGAGTGAAAGTGTGCGGTGGCCTAACGTGATGACGCAGGAGTCAGACCAAGAGGCCCACCTGCTGAATCCCAGCTCCCACTTCTGATGGCAACTCTGCCACTGGACAGTCTTCTGCCAGTGAAATGATCATCTTTCATTTCAGGGAAACTGGCAAATTTCCTCCTGGAATGTTCCCAAGAAAAACAGAACCTTCGGTGTACCAGTGCCCTGCTATTCACCCTCCTTTCCACCTGGAGGAGGTGCACAGGATAGTAATTTTACAGAAGTTAACAGGGTGGAGACTGGCCCAATTGAGGACAGGGAATTTGAACGTGAAGTAGGAAACTGGTCTTAGACCCTCATGTCCACACTCGACACCCCCAGCTCCTCCCGGTGGCCTGTGGTGGTGCCAGCACCTCTAGATGGGAAAGCAGAGCCCACACAGGGAGCTGGAGTCTGACCGAGCCCGGGCAGAACCACGGGGCCAGCAAGGTGTGGACAAGAGCCCAGGGCAGAACCATGGGGCCGGCACAGCGTGGACGAGAGCCCAGGGCAGAACCACGGGGCCGGCACGGCCGGGGCAGAACCACGGGGCCGGCACAGTGTGGACGAGAGCCGGGGCAGAACCACGGGGCCGGCACAGTGTGGACGAGAGCCGGGGCAGAACCACGGGGCCGGCACAGTGTGGACGAGAGCCGGGGCAGAACCACGGGGCCGGCACAGTGTGGACGAGAGCCGGGGCAGAACCACGGGGCCAGCACGGTGTAGACGAGAGCCGGGGCAGAACCGAGGGGCCCAGGGCGGTCAGGGTGCACGACTCAGCGTCCCGCATGCACCACATGGGGTGTGCTCCTGCTTGGACTTACCTGTACCGTCTGTACCGTGTAGATTTTCTTCAGGTTTGATGCGCACTCGGCTGCTGTGGCCCCAGGGAGAGATCTAAGTGAACAAGCAAAAGGGCAGAGACAGCAGCAAGCAGTCAGTGTGCGTGCACCAGTCCACAGGAACCTGCAGGCATCAGGCAAGTCGGGCTGGACCAGCCGTGGGCAAACTACAGCCCGCGGGCCAGATCCGGCCCGTTTGAAATGAATAAAACTAAAAAAAAAAAAGACCGTACCCTTTTATGTAATGATGTTTACTTTGAATTTATATTAGTTCACACAAACACTCCATCCATGCTTTTGTTCCGGCCCTCCGGTCCAGTTTAAGAACCCATTGTGGCCCTCGAGTCAAAAAGTTTGCCCACCCCTGGGCTAGACCTTCCGACTCACATTCCTGGGACCTATTTACAATTTAAGATGTGAAATTCCTACTTTCTGAAGTCATGGGTTTGCTTTTCTAAAAATAAACTTACTCATTCTGTGGGAATTTAGTAGAAAAAACCTGAAATGTATCTAAGAAAGGTATTGGAAACCTCAAAATCACATTTTAAAAAACCCTAAAATAACCTTGTAATGACCAAGCCTTTTGCCTAAGACTTTGGACAAGAAAGTGTGCCTATGCCCAGGTGACCATGACAATGCAGGGTCCTGACTGGTTCCCTGTGTGAAGGCTGTAGGCTCCGTGGCAAATGTGAACTTGAGAGGCAGGCGTCTGTGCGCGGAGGACAGATATGACCGAGGTCACCTTTGTGACCCAGGGACTTGCATGTGTGTCCAAAATACTTGCCTTTGGGAAAGTCAGTTAATTTCCGTGGCTGATTGAATTAGCTCTGCGATCTCTGTGGTCAGAATACGTTAATCTTCCATTTGCCCATGCTCCACTAGATGGCAACATACTACGGCTTATTCAGTAGAAAGCCAGGCAGCTGCCTGGGACGGGTAACATGACATGACGTCATCAATCCTTAGAAAACTCTGTGACATACACGCTTTCTTTCTCCCTACATGGAATCAGCAGTTCTTGCTCAAAAATGATGTGCCCGCTACATCAGACCTAAGGTGAGAATTCACACTCAAAATAATGCTTCCCAGCACCATGTCTGTTCACTGGCCAGACAGAGGCGTGCTGAGGGCGCGTGCTGGCTCGTGGCTGACCCACAGGGATCGATGAAAGGGACGCTCTTTACCGACCCTCAGAGGCAGACCCAGGTCCTTAAGAAGGTGAACTCTGTGGATCAGCCATTGCCAACCTTTCAGACCTCATGGACCATCAGTGGTCTGTGGAACCCCGGATCGTGACCGCTGCCCGGGATGGTCGTCAGGCACTGACACTGGGATGTGCATAAAACTCATAGCTCAGGTGAGGGAGGGCCGAGCAAGGGCCAGGCCCAGGTGCCTGGTTCTATGGGGGGACACGAGGCGTGTCAGGGTTCTACAGGTGACATTCGGTAACTATGGACCAATGAATGATCCCTGGGTGTCGAACCTGAATGCCAGAGACACATTTCTGAAATCAGCGCCCTGGCCTGGAGGTTGCTAAGTAAGCAGTTAAAGATCAGTTTGAGGACAAACAGGGATCCTTGTTGAGCAGGTAAAGTCTGATAAACTTCTCTGCAGCACTGGGTGTACAACTCATTTCTAGTTTTCATAAAGAAGCTGGACACTATTTTTGAAAAAGCAAATCCACAATAACCACCATGATTGCACGTTGCTGCCTGTCTTAAAGCCTCCTAAGTACGCTGCGAGCGCGGGGAGCGCGCCACTTCCTCAGTGCCCGAGCCTCGTCCACCGTGTTTCCGGGCCGTCTGGGCTGGTGGCGGTGAGGGCTGACTTGGACAAATATTGATTTGTGTTTAATGCAGGCCTTTACCCTGTTGTTGGCTAAGATTATGAAAACAGTGGCGGGGGGAGGGGCTTTTTAAAAAAAACCTTGATTTTTTTTCTGAAGAGATATGCACGTGAAAATTTTATTGCTTTTATATGAAAATCTCCTGGCACTTTTTCCCTTTGAAAAGTTTAGCTGGCCCCCCGCCCCCCGCCCCCCACAGCAGAGGATGAGAGAGTGCAGGGCTCCCTGTCGGGAGAGGGGCTGGGGTCCAAAGGAAGTAAATGGACTTTCTATTTTTTCATTTTAAAATTACATATTTCAAATTTTTACTAATTTTTAAAGTTCCACCACAATTTATAATGGTTTAGATGAGAGTAATTTGAATGTGCACCTCATAGCATTACGTCAACTGAAGCAGACACATTGTGAGGACCCGCCTTCTAACCTAGAAGGAAGTTCACTGGCGACCTGCCACTCACACTCTCACGCAGGAGACCGTCATACAAAGTCACTTAGGTCCCCTCAGTTTCACATTTTTGGAGACATTTTTTCCTTCTAATTTTTTGGAAGAAATCTAGTTTCCAGTCTATAAAAGGGCTCTAGAATGAAACAAGGACTAGGCAGTGCTGCTCGGTGTTTAAAACAACAACGCCAGCAGCTAGTGTGTACGAAATGAATGCACTACGGCGGCGAGTCCTTGCGAGCCTACTTACATAGCTGTCAATATTATTTCTTACTATTGTACAGGTGAGCAAGCCAGAATTTAGAGAGGTTTGGTAACGCGCCTGAGGCCACAGAAACCTAATCAGAATACAGGTGACCCATCTGAGATTTCCTGCTCTGTACCCCTGACTTTCCAGTCAAGCCCTACTTACATTTTTAAGGGGATTTTGCAACTGATTCTAGGTGTGTTCTCATTCAGGCCACAGTCTTTGCTGAATCCCATTTTTTTTTAAAATACATTCTTATTGATTTCAGAGAGGAAGGGAGAAGGAGAGAGAGAAACATCAATGATGAGAGAGAATCATTGATCGGCTGCCTCCCGCACGCCCCCTACTGGAGATCGAGCCCACAACCTGGGCATGTGCCCTTGACTGGAATCGAACCTGGGACCCTTCAGTCCACAGGCTGACGTTCTATCCACTGAGCCAAACCAGCTAGGGCTGAATCCCATTTTTAATATGAGGTTGTGTCCATATAACTTCCTTAGCATCGTTTTTCCAACGGAGGGGGGTTGGGGGGAGGCCACACTGACACCAGCAGGCTCCTGCTCCACAACAGCTCCATTCCGATTAACATCTCCCGATGCTGACCCATTGCTGTTTGAAAGATGTCAGGTTCTACGGAAACTAATTTTTCTAATTTCTGGATTCTGATAGAAGGCTCCTTACAACTGCTGCAGCTTTATGAATATCCAGGCATCAAAGTAACAGGATGGAGTTGTCGGAACTTCCGATGGTAGTAGATGTCTGGCTTGGCCTGTGCACGGCATGGCATTACTCTGTGCGCCACAGCTGATTCCGACAGTCACTGCCAAGTGCCCATGTGCCTAACCTCATATCTGAACCTCGGACCTCTTCAAGGGCAAGGCTGGGCCAGAGCCACAGAATGACGTTGAAGGGGCAAACAAAGCAGGTTTCTAAGTGACGGCGCCTTGCGAACAGACCAGTGTGTGCTGGACTTGCTGGTTCAATGTGGACCCACAAGCTGGATCGTCTACGCTTCCTGGCTCTTCAGGCGGCAGTGCAGGCGGCTGAGGGCAGAGCTGCAGCCCTGGCAGCCGAGCCACACCTGCTCTTCCCTCTTATGCCAACAGATAGTGTAGCAACTGGAAGGTCCCTGTATGTGGTGGATGTCCATTAAACAAACAGCTGTACTTGCATCACACGTACACTGTATTCTATCTTTTTTGTTGTTAATCCTCACCTAAGGATCTTGTTTCCATTTGTTTTTAGAGAGTGGAAGGGAGGGGGAGAGACACAGAGAGAGAAACATCGATGGAAGAAACATCTGGCTAGTGCCCACCCAGCACACTGAAGACACATCGATTGGTTGCCTCCTGCACATGCCCTGACCAGGGCTGAGGATCGAGCCTGCAACCAAGGTATGTGCCCTTGACGGGGATCAAACCTGTGACCCTTCAGTCCAAGGGGCAACACTCTAATCAATGAGAAAACTGGCCAGACCTATTCTCCTATCTTTTAAAGGTCTTCTTATTTCAAATCTTCCAAGAGAACCCTAACTGAACCCTCTCTCTACAGGCCAAGAATGCTCCTCTGTGGTGTGGCCCAGGGGACACTGGCACAGCCACAGACAGTCATCGCGACTGAATGGGATGCTGCTGGCCTCATGGCAGGAGGCCAGGCTGCTGCTGAGCCTCCTGCAGTGCACACGCCAGCCCTCAACACGGAAGCATTAGTCCCGAACGCCATGGAGTCAAGGCTGAGAAGCCCTGCGAGCACGTCGCAAGTTTCAGAGGATTTATCATTTATTCAGTCAACAGATTCACTGCACACCTCCCAGCTGAGGGAACAGAGACAGAGCCCTTGTCCCCGCAGAGTTTAGAACTGGCTGTCTGCTCTCTGAATCCCCTACTCCCGAAGGCAAAGGAACAATGTTTAAATCCTCTTTTATTTGCCTGGGACAGAGGCAGTGGGAGAAGCAGCTGAGAGAGGAATAGATACATAGACTTGGAGCATTCGTAGGAGATATAGGCAGAGCTGGTGAAAACCACAGCTGAGGAGTCAGGACCTATTTCACACATGGAGCTCTGTGCCCCCTCCCTGCGCTCAGTGGGGGCTGAGACAGCCCTGGGACTCTAACTGCCCTGCATGAGCAGGTGAGGAGTTTGAACTGTTTCTCCAGGAGTTTTCTCTCTGATTTAATGATATTACTGTGACAATGGCTTCCTTTTGTTGAGCACATGCGATATGTAAGGGTTTTACATATATTATTTCAAGCCCTTACAGCAATCCTGCCAAGCTGGTATTATTATCCTCACTTTATAGATCAGGAAATGAAGGCTTAGTGAGCCTGTCTCTTGGCAGACCTGGGTCCTTTCTCTGGTCTGCCTGGCTTGATGAGGATGCCTCTCGGTGAAAACCAAGCGGTCACTGTCAGCATGGGCAGTCACATACAGAACATGGGATCACAAATACCTCTCTCGCCCCACCTGAAGTTATATTCCCCCTTTTTGGGCCCACCCCCTGCTCTTGCCTGTTGTCCTCGCC